ACCCCATCTTCTTTACACAAAAGTGAGATTTCTGCGAAGCAGGTAAGACCTGGAATACAGGAAATGGCCAAGCCTAGCTAAAAAGCCAATGCCAGGCCTACGAGCTACAAAAAAGGACTGTGGGACTTCATGTAACCACCACTAACACGCATGAAATTTTACTTTTTCTTTTTCTTTTTTTTTTTTTTTTTTTTTTTTTTTCTTTCTTTTTTTTTTTTTTGTTAATAGCACTGTGGTGAGGAGAGCCCTAAATATAGCTATTGAAGCTTCCTCCTAAGAAATGATCGCTGGACCAACAGCAAACGTAAAACAAAACATACAGCTTCAAGCACTGGGATGTACCTACAGCCTTAATGAAGTTTCCGACATACCAGAATCAAAAATATACACCTGAGGTCCGTGATCAGTCACCCTCCACCTGCCTCTGTACAATCCCCATCCCAAAGCATTGGAGAGACTGGATGAAAACCACTAAGATTTATGAAACACTTTTAAAAGTCAAAGCAGGTAACAAGGCTTTCTGAAACAAGAATGACCCTGGTTCTTCTCCTCCTCCAACTCATTTTAGAGACCTGCTCATACTTGTTTTAGGAATTACTCAGGGCTCCACTACAGTAGACTATTGATTGTGAGGATTCCCCAAAACACAAGTTAACAAGTCCAAAAGGGATATGGGGACCATGTGTGATTAAGGCTAGACCCCAGAGACTGGTGTAGAAAGAAGAATGGGAAAGAGATTATACAATATAGAATCTGGGCCTACATCCCACTACACCTCGGTCTGTTTTCTTTCACTTTACTCCAAGGGCCAAGCCTTATAGAAAACCGTCTCCCTATGGCTAGAGTAAACTCTTTTTGCCAATAGGGGAAGCACAGGAAGATCTGACAAGTCCAGGGGGAAAGGAAAGGAGAGTGCCTCAATTTTTACCAGTGAAAAAGTCAGTTGCGTGAATCTGGTAACATCTCTCTCACCACCAGCCTTCCAAGTTTGCACACAGCTATGCTTCCTGCATACACACAAGAAATAAATCACTTTTCCTATTAGAGAAATGCTAAGATGACAGGTGGTATGCACTGAGGACACACAGCTCATTACTAAGACACGCTGGGAAGAACATTCAGGCACTAAGTGGTGTCTCAGTGTCATGCCCTAACTACCCAAAGATTGTTCTGATTTTGGGTTCATGGCTTTTATGCTTAAACGCCATGAAGTAGCACCTGTCTCATATAAGAATCTGCAATATGGAGTTCAAGCTTAATTTGATAACCGAACATGTGCAGAAACTCTCCAAGAAAGACTGCCATTAGCTAGTCCTAATCCCCTAAGAAAAAAAAAACCCTCCAATTTTCTCGAGGCAGTGGTTCAATCAAAGAAAAGTCTGAAACTAACCTTAAAAACTTTCAAGGAGCTAAAAATCTCTGTTCCATGGAAATGAAAAACAGAAAGATAAAGGCATGGTCAAGAACAGGTAGGCTGATGCATCAAATCTAATTTACTTTGCAAGTGGAAAATTCTAGCCCCAAAGGCTGAAGTCACTAAGAGCCGAATAAGATGTCCCAAGTAACAAACTGAAAAGATGTCCCAAGTAACGAGCTGAAGGCATTAGTAGCCACTAATGGCATTTTCTTCCTCATCGGGATACATATTTTTACAGAAGATGAAAGAAAAGGATAGCAAAAAGAAGGCTGAAAGGCGATACCATTACTCTTCATAAATATTTCAGCGGAATAAATATTAGGGAAGGAATACACTGACAAAAGAACAATTAGAAACTCACCATGAATAAATTCAGCTGGCAACTAAAAAAAAAAGCCTCTTAACCATAACCTTTCCAAAAGAAGTACTATGAAAAAACAACCAAACTAGTTTTAAGCTGGAATATGATAATTTTATGGGCACGTTTATATGGTGTAGTTGCCTGCAGTAAAGAGAAGAGATAGGACCTCCTCTGTCAGGGTCCTAGAGATCAATCCCTCTCCCAATGTCTTCTCCCCCTTGCCCCAAATGGGGATTGCCACCTTGAAGATGCTGCAGCAATCCATAACTAGTAGCTGTGATTAGGCAGGAGCCCTTGGACTCCAGTATGCCTCAGGATGTTTTGCACCAGCTGCTAGAAAGCTTCAAAATACAGTTAGAGTCTGAAAGCAATTGTGGGGAAATGGTGTTTTCTTACTCAATGGTTCTTTTCCTCCTTTACCTACATGTACAAGTTGTCTGCCAGCTCTTCTCATAAAGACTCATTTCTTTTTTTATTCTTGTTAGCACGGCTGCCCAAATTCATTAGGGAGTGGGAAAGCAAACAGTATTTTCTTCATTTAGCTTGTGCATCAGAATTGTTAAGTATGTTCCAATCTCAGAACCTTTATTATTGATGATGAGACTCCACTGAAAAAATATCATAAAAAGAATAATTCTGATGATCAAATTCCAGGATACATTTATAAAGCCGACAGGGAACTTACTACCTGCCTTGTACAACTAGCGCATTGGACATGGAGTCATCATGGACTGCCAGAAGTTATTCTTGTCAGTCATTTTACAGAGTAAAGCCACTTATATGGAGTTCCCTAAGTCTAACACTGGATATCCTTCAATTAGAAATTCCTGCAGGTCAAACAATGAATGGGTTGTACTATGACCTGACACCTCTGCTTTGACTTTTATGGTAAGGCAGCAACTACAAAGCCCTTGTCCAAACTGTATACACCAGGGGTGGCCAACCTGTGGCACAAGTGTCGTGGGCAGCCCCTGTGTGTGGCACGTGGCAGAACAGGAAGGAGACACACAGAATAGCAGTAGATAGGGTAGGAGCAGAAAGGAAAGCAGACAGACCAGGCAGAGGAAGGATATCAGTGGCACTCAGGGAGGGAGCAGGGATAATTTGTAGCACATCTGCCAAAAAGTTTGCCCTTCTCCTCTCCCTTCCTGGTTTACACAAAGCAGCAGCAGGGCTCTCAGATTTGATCCCACTAAACTAAGCCTTCTTTCCCTAGAGGAAATATTTTTCTCCAACTATTTACTTATATACAACTCATTAGAAATGAGAACAGAATTTGCAAGTTGGAATACAGAATATTCCAGTCCATGGTCATACCAATTATCAGCACAGACTAGAAACCAGAAATCCAACTGGAATTAAATAGTGGCAGTCAAACTGTATTAAAAAGAGAAAAAGAAGAAGATTCCCCAGTGCAGTTACCACATTCACTACCACAACATTCAGTTCACAGGGAAAATACTAAGCCTTCCATCCTTGGAGCTTTTTCTCTATTCTAGTTATGTTAATAACTTGCTCTGTAGAATTACTGGTCTTGCTGCCAGTTAAGAGGCAGCACAGCACGCTGCTACGTAGGAGAATTATATGGAGAAAGATTCAGAACTCATTTCCTTCACCGACTGCCTTACGGAAAGAGTCTACTTCAGCTACAGTACTGAACTAACAAATGTTGGCTTGGCAAAGTAAGTGTTCATTACCTACTTGTTAAGTTGAGATGAATTTACACGTGTTACTGACTGACATTCCCACATTTGAAAACACTGGTCCTAGCCAGTACCCAGAAATGAAGCCGGGTACTGGGAAGAACTATCAGATTATGAGGGTGGTCGAGCACTGGAACAAACTGCCCAGAAACATCGTGGAATCTCCATCCTTGGAAATATTCAATAGCAGCTTAGACAGACACTCAGCTAGGACAGTTTAGTCAGTGATGATCCCACCTTGAATGGGGGCCTGGAGATGCTGATCTTGTGATACCCCTTTTAGCGCTATTTTCCTATGATTTTATAATCCCAGCTTTAAAAAAAAAAAATGAACAGTTTTGTTTCTACAGTGAACAGCGTTAGTCCCATCATATATAATACATAACGTGAAAACATTTGCGAGCCTAAAGGCAAGCCATATACATTCCGCAGTTCTGCCTAGATTTCTTCCCCATTCTTTAAATTACATACATCATATGCAAAATATCTTTCAGAAATAATTTATTTTATATAATGCCAGCTGGCTGATGCACTGAAAGCATGGCATATGGCCCCCTCAAGCAAAGGAAGGTATGTACAGTGTTTCACAGTAGGAAAGATTTAGCAGCCTTGACATAAATTCTCATACAAACTAAGACTGGCCTATATCCAAAAGAATGATACTACACATTAAATATCAATTCCAGAAGTGCTCCAAGACAGGTGACAGCGTCACTTCACTCCAGCAGATGGCCTACTTCTCAAAGAGAAACTACAGAGCTCTTCATTACAAGGCAGGTTCCCCAAACATTATGAACATCTGAACACACATTTTTCCTGCAAATGAAGAGTTAACATACGCTTCTCCCAACTCTGGCTGCCAATGAGAAACCAACTGGTAATATTGGAAGTTAAAAGCCAAGTGGACCAAACTGTTCTAACAGATTAGGAGTGGTGCTTCTGCACAAATCACAAAGGGAAACCAGATTCATCTCCTGCTTACTTGCCCTCAGATTAGAGATAGCTTCAGAGATAACTGATTGTAACTCCTAAGAGAAGAGTTTATCCTGAATCAGCTAATGGTAACTCGTCCAAATGATTAAGGAACAACAGTGACAGACAAGCAGGAAGATTCTCAAGGTTCTTGGAGTGCCACTGGAGAACCAAGATTATATGAATTTCTCGACAATAAGTGGCTAATCAGTAAGCAATTTTCTTAATGACATTTGAACCTGGGGACAGGCAATGGTATAATAGCACATATGCTATTCCATGAGTAATGAAGGTTTAGAAGAGAAAAGGTTTCCATGAACTTCTGCAAGCCCTGAATGCATTCCCAACACCCACATGTCAAATGTCAAGCGAGTCAAGAGGGCTCTGGAAGGATTTTTTTTAAGAGAGAATACTACTCTCAGCAGCAAGAAAAAAAAAGCCAAGCAGCAATTGGACTCATACTACTTCTTGACTAGGGAAGAAAGTAGGGGACTGTGTAAATTCTGAACAAGTGGAGCATAAAGTGTTTCATCTGAATTTCACTCACTGTGTATTCTGCATGTTTTTTCCCATACCATTTCATCCACTTTCTGAACTCTCTGTCCATCGTCTAGAAGAGGGGGAAAAAAGGAAAAAACACCCATTAGGAAATCCTGCATTACTAGTTACATTACAACAAAATAAGAGGCAGCGCTGACAACTCACACCGGCCTGAGAAAGTTCTTTCCCAGTAATGTTTGAAAAGGACCAAGGGAAATCCATACACACACACAATGACAGTCTGCCCTGTTTAGTTCCCAATGGGAGACCCTTTCCTTTGCTTCACCATCGCCAAAATACCAAGGCTGGCTTTTTCCAGTCTCCTCTTTTCAGGGAAGCTACATGTTCTGGGAAGACTGAGTTGACTCTGCTCAGCATTCTGCTCAAGGATGGTGCAACCTAGGCAACCATTCCTGCTGTACTATATAAACCCACAGGAAGCAGGTGGAAGTGAAAACAGCCCAATCTGAACCCAGAAAGCAAAAAGGTGAAAAGGGGATAAAGAGAAGTCTGTTACAGAGAATGGGAAAGCAGGAATAAGCATGCAAAGCAACTGCAATAGCAACTGGAAGTGAGCACCACATTGTCAGAAACCAGGAAGAGCGCTTCAATCTATATCTAAACAGATTTGGTTTAAAACAGAACAGCAAGTCATTTGCAATGCAAGTCCACTGGCTGACAATAGTTTCCTGCCAGACAGAAGAGAAAGGGGCTGAAAAAAAATCTCTCACACAGATAGGCAGCAGGGCCACTATTTCTGAAATGCTGACCCTACATATAACATGTGAGTGCATAGCACATGGAACTATGACATACTGTGGCAACAAGGATCAGTTATATCTATTCAACATTAAAAGTGAAACTAAAATAGCATAGGAAAGGTTAGAAAGCCTTGCAACTGCAGTCCACAAACACAACACTCAGACTGGGGAGGAAAGAAAGCTGCAGTCTCCACTAACAATTTGAAAATAACTGAAGAACTCTGCTATATTGCCAGCAGTGAAACAGCTCCCGGTGACATTTAAAAAACTTATTCATTTTAACTAATATCCCCAATCAATTAATGGAATAGCTCATAGCACGCAACTGTTTCAGTCTCCAGCTTCAGTATCGGTTCATGTTTAGAAAGGTTCTGTGTCCCATCCCCCCCAAGAAAAGCATTGACTACGGATTTTCCCTTTTAACTGAAGCTTTAAAACCTGCATGAAACGTGGTAATAAACAAACAACTGATATTACGGCCAAATGACTACAAACTCAGTTCAATCCCTGTCACAAATGTCTATCAAGAAAAATTATTAAAACTGGGCCAATTTAAACAGAGCATGAGACCTGTAAACTATCTATGGGCAGATTCACACACTCTGAAACTGCAACAGCTGTCAGGATAAAGTATGATTTTTTCACCTAATCAACTCATGAAATACAGACACGATACTCTTAAAAAGGGGGATACCATCAGGGTTTTGTAGCCTGTCACCTACAAGAGCGCTTATGCCTCTCTGAACCAGTTAGTCCCTAGCATGCCTCATCTTGTCTTGTGCCTAAAGAAAAAAAAGCATATTTCCACTATATATTTGCAAAAGTTATGTAATTCTTTACAGGCTTATTCTCACTGACATAAATGCCCCTCTCATCCTTCTGTGTAAGTGGGCCCAAAAGCAATTAGTATCAGAAGAGTGTAAAACGACCTTCATAAAAATGAAAATCTGGCCTTCTCTCACAAACAGAATGCCTTTTAAACTATGGCTACTGTTAAAATGAAGGAAGAAAACGAGGGGATTCTTTGCTCCTTCTATTGCCCTCCTCAATACAAGTCTTAGCACTCTTTGCCTACAGCATCCAAAAAAGAAGCTCAAAAGTTTTAATTTCTACATGAAAACAGACCCTATCCATTTCCCCACCCTGCCCTGCTCAAACAAGGAGCTAAAGGCTCTGTGCATCTTGCTGGAAGAAGTAAATGACTTACTGTAAGGCTTGACCAACTTTTATTGTTTGCTTGCAGCTCCACGTTTCTCTTGGAATTGATTAACTTTGGGTGTCCTCACGGACACCGAACTAGTGGACGTGTAAAGCAAAAACTGCTTGCCTTGGTATAATGGTCTCATCATAAGACTTCATTGTAAGTGCTGCATTTGGGTGCTTGCTAAGTACTACTATTAACTGAATACTCTAGTGAATTCTAGAGTCCTATCAGCTAAGTTACTCAGCAACTCCAGCTACATTTTAATAACTAAGCTGATTAGTTTATGGTTTGGGACTCTTATTGTGGCAGTAATGACCCATTCTGGACTGTAAGTTCTCAAAAGTTCTAGGAGTTTGTGCGTTTCATCTCCTAATATTTAATTTGGTTTAAACCCTTCCTAGATTTACTAAGCCTACATAGCACTACCCACTATGTTACAGGCCTTTTAAAGACCTGACCTATTCCAGACATAGGATACCAAATGGGGTCCATAGTCTAGGCATTGAGTTTAGGGGGTAGCAGAAATACTAGCAGCAGATAAAAACCATACATACAGAATGTGTGCTGCCAGAACACAAAGTGCACTCTGGGAAGGCACCAGCTCCTAAATGGACTGTGGCAGCTGGTTGAAAAATCCAAAATTGTCTACTCATGTCTTCAGAGGCAGTGGTAAAAGCCTTACTCCACTCAGAAGGAGACCTGCTTTGCAGGTAAAATACACTCAAGGTTCTGCCAGTCCAACACTGCAGGTTTTTGCTTAGCTAACCCTGCAACTTTACAAAAATCTTTTGCTCCCATTTCATTAAGGCCACACCTACCAACACCTCCTTGAGGCCCTAAGGGCTGAATTACACTGCCTTAGAAGTTTAGTTAATATGTTTTCTGATCACTCCATGAGCACTGCCAACAAGTACCACAACACACACAATTCCCTCCTCCTGACATTGTGTTCCAGACCTTGGTGACTTGAGCAGGTCTATATTCAAACTGAACTCACCTGCTTGTTGATGCAAGGCAGTTACCTGTAAACCATAACGCAGTGAGCTAGACCTTGAATAAAACACCTACAAATCTCACACTTCGAGATATAAAACTCACCTCAGCATATTTGGCTGGAATATCAGCTTTCTCCACACCATAGTGATGTTTGCAGTTTGTGGCTGCAGCAACTTGGAGCACCACCTGACCCACACCTGCAGAGAGAGAGAGAGAGAGAGAGAGAGAGAGAGAGAGAGAGAACATAAGAACAAGTGACAATAAAAAAAACCACACAATGAGAAAGGTATTTCTAGAACCCTCAAGAAGCCAAACTACACATGAGGAAGGACACCTTTGTGGTTAAGGTAGTGGACTAGGACTCAGGAAACCAGGGTTAAACACTCAGCTCTGCTATAGTTTCTGCACAAATCTATTTCTGTTTCAACAGAAAAAAGGTGGACATGCTGCTTCACTTCTCTAGTTCTTTGTCCGTCTTGCTTATTTAGACTGTAAGCTCTTCAGGACAGGAACTGACTTTCTGCTAGTACATCTACTACCTACCGCAGAGGTGGTTAGCCATGTTAGTCTGAAGTCAGGAACAAAGTAGGGCAAGGCGGCATCTTAGAGTCCAGGGGCGGGCAATTATTTTGGGTGGAAGGCCGCTTACTGAGTTTTGACAAGCCATCAAGGGCCACATGATAGGCAGCCAGGGGCATATAAATATTAATTTTCTAAATGTTTTAGGGGCCCGTGGGCCGGATAGAATGGCCTGGTGGGCCGCATGTTGCCCCCACCTTAGACAGTAACCGATTCAGAAAGTTCATGACTCTCTAAACTTGTTTTTTTATCCATCAGTCAATCCTCATTAAAGTTGCCAATTGTTTGCATTTGCTCACTGTGCTGGGTAGAAGATAAGGCAGGGCGACACCTTAAAAATGGCTGCATAATAATTTAGGAACCTATGTTCCACTTAAATGACTAGGGGGGGATAATTATGGTTGCTTTATTTCTGTTTAATAAAACCAACAGCTGCTAGGTGAATTCCAATACATTGCAAGTATATCCACAAAAATGCCCTCAACTAAAACACTGATAAAAACACTTGGTGATGAAAGTACACCTGGCTTTCACCTTTACAGAATACGCATACAAATGTATCAGTACACAGTAAAGATCCTAATCCAAGACAGAAACAGTACCTGGTAACCACCACCCC